GATTACAATCACCTGGAATTGCTCTTAAAAATAAAGTGGGAAATAGGAATCTGTTGCTACAGAGCTTTTCCTCCTTCCTTTTGATGCGGTGTTTATTTGTGAATGAACTCAAGAGCTCAGCTCTAGAAGGCCTTCCTGTCTGCATTTACCAGGAGAACAGGAGCAGGAGCAAATAGCTTATAAATTCTAATTCACCCTCGTGGTTGTATAGCATTGAGAGTGCAAGACCATGCACCTTGGAAGGAAGGGGATAGAAGTGGTGGCAGCAACTGCCCCTTCCCATTTTCCTTCTGATGTCCTGGTGTGACACGCTCTTGCTCTTGTGGTGGGGTCTTCTTCAGGGTGAACATGCCTGAAATGAATGTGACATTAATGATGTCAGTGATCCCTCTTACCTGCTGCTCCTAACCCCAATACCACTTTTTATTACTTATTTAAATAGAAAAGTCACAGGGAGCTGCCAACATCCTCAGAACAAGCCCTGAAGTCATCCCATTTCTTGACTGGGACTCAGGCCTCTTATAACACTTCCTCTTTTCCTTCTATACCTCATTACAGGGAAAGACTCTCAGACCAACCCACTTAAAGTGTTATATATAATAATTTGGAGCTAAGATCTCACTTGACTTCAGTCTTAGAGAGACAAAGTTTAACCAGCACCATTTCCAGACAAACATTTCTATTTGTTGTGTGGCCTACTACAAAATTATCTCTGATTCATTGTATATTTTAAACTAAAACTTGACCAATAACTAAACCTCAACCTGTATTTCCAGAAGAAAATAATTATTAACCATACTATTTTTCCTTCTTCTTTTCCTCATATTCTCAAGGTGACATTAATTAAAACTACAATTCTAAAAAATCCTCCTAGAGTCAACATATAAAGCATCCTAATTTAACTAAGTTGAAGAGGCACTTTTCACATGAAAAATAAACGAAGTGACGATTATTTTCCAGAAAGGGTTGATCTTTTAGTCTGTGAGATAATGTCAGCAAACTGTCCAAAGCCACCATCACCTCTGGCCTGGACTACCTAAGAGCCTCCTGGTTGATTTTACTGCTTATTGCTCTGTCCCACCTGCAGCCATCCTCCACACAGCAGCCAGATGGTGCTTTGAAGCTGCAAATCGTATCAAGTCTCTCCCCTGCTTTAACTTTTGCTGACGTCTTATGGCTTGTAGTACACACTTTTCATCCTTATGATGGTCTACAGCACCCTACATGATGTGTCTCGGATGACCATCCCAGCCCCTCTGTCTCTCACCCTATACATTTAGGGCATACTGGCCTCCCTTCTCTCTCTCGTGCAAAGGCACACCCTGTCCCTGCTGCTTGGAAAGCTGTTCCCGAGGCTGGCTGCTTCTGGTTCATTAATGCTTTTTCCTCACACCTTTCCTATGAGCTTTAGTGCTATTTCTGCACATAGGCTTTCTCTAGCCACCTGTCTGAAACAATCTTTTTTTTTTTCCTTTTTGTCTTTTTTCGTGTCCGTCAATGGATCGCAACCCTCAGTGTCGCGCCTGTACCGGACCGGGACCGGCAACGGGATCGCAACCCCCGGTGCTGCGCCCGCACCTTGCTCAGCCAGTGAGCGGGAACCGGTCTGTATGTGGGATCCGAACCCTCGGTGGGAGCGCCACCGCGCTCTCAAGCAGCGCACTGTAGCAGTGCGCCACCGGGCCGGCCCGAAACAATCTTTTTTTTGAGGGAGCGCCACCGCGCTCCCAAGCAGCGCACTGTAGCAGTGCGCCACCGGGCCGGCCCGAAACAATCTTTTTTTTGACACTCTTTATCAAATACCCCTGTTTATTTCCTCCATGGCACTTATTACAGTATGAAATACTTAATTGCTTACCACAGATATTTCTTACTCCCACTGGAATGTGAGCTCTGTGAGAGCAGATATTTTGTTCTATATAACTCCTGCGGGCAACGTGGTATCTGACAGACAGTAGGGTTTAATAAACACTTGTGGACTGAACAAGAGAAAGGAAGAAAAGAAAGAAACAAAAAAGAAGAAAAGAAAGAGGGACATGGGTATGAGAGGAAACACATCAGGAAATATTAGTTTAAATGAAATGTGAGAAATTAAAGGTAGCTGTTCAAATAGCAAAGGAATGCTATAGACATAAAGGTTCATCTTACAATTCTGTACAGTTATACAGGGTCGGAGGGGAAGAATGCTTTAGATAAGGTCAAAGAAGATCATCACAGTTGCAGCCCAAACAACATATGCACACATATCCATGTACCTAAAATTATTTCAAAAGTCTTAATATTTACATTGGAATTAGCATTCAAGAATAGAACTGGAATACAATACCAGTATGGATGATATATTTGAAGGCTCAGAACATTGTCGGAGGATCTTTTGACAAAAAGTCTTGGGACATATTTGGATTAAGCTAGTTTTATAATAAAGATGTAGATGGGTGAGGAGTGATTGGGTTAAGAAAACAGAAAATGTAGAATTGGATATAAGACAGGACATGGCAGGCACTCTGGGAGTTTATAATAAGAGAGGTGGAGATAAAATTAACTGGAGAAGAAGATGTGATAACAGGATTTGGACTGGCACAGGTATGTCAGGCAGAAAGGGCTAAATACAAGTATTCAGGTGCTTATTCAGTTATTGAAGGTGGGGGAGGAGCAAAGGGCAGGGAGGGATGCCACTATCTGCCAGGTTTGCCTCTAGCCTTCAGAGAATCAGGACAGCTTATATGGTTCTTGTGTGACATATTGAAATAACAATTCTAAAGTGCTTAGGACAGTGCCTGCCATGTTCTCTGTGTTGGTTCCTTTCACCTCCCCTGCCCCACCAGCTATCTCTTGCTTGCCTCTGCAGGACTGGTTTGCTAAGATGCTGTCACAACATGTTTGGGGGGTCAGAAATACTTTGTATGTATGGAAGACTAACACAGATATGTTTTAGTAAGGAAGAAGAAAGTTTATTTTCCCATGTGATCTCACTTGCTTAAGAGAAAATAAGAAATATCCTAGAGTATTAACACTAGGTATTCTGCAAACTCTAACTCTTCTTGTAGTAAAGTGGTGAGAGAATTAAAAGCCACCAATATTTCACTTTGAGCCTTTTGTCAGATCTCTAATTTCTCTTTAGCCTAAAGATGTGGGCCTGGTTATATTTGTATGTTTACTGCAGAAAAGACCCTTAGGGGTGGAGCTTGGTTTTACTTGTGTTTATATTTTAGGACCCAGCACAAGACTTCTTAGATGTTCAAATAAATATTTGTTGAGCAAAAGAATATTTTAGAGAATGCAATTGTGTGAACTAAGAAAGACCAATTACTTTATGTCCAAACGTAGTACTTCTGTTGTCTAGTGCTTGCTGGGGCTGTGTTTAGCTGGTAGTAACCATGCTAAAAGTAACCATGTTTTGTGTCTTCACTTTTGCAGGGTGCAGGGGTGTGGAGTGGTCTGTATTTGCAGGGATGCGGTGTTATCAGCCGCCCTTCATGCTCTTTGCTTTTGTTGTGCCCCATCTCTCCTCATTAGACTGTAAACTCTTTGAGGACAGAGACCATGGCTTGTGTTCCATGTCACCACATATGATTTTTCAGTGCTTGTGACATTTTTGATATTCAGTAAATATCAGTTGAATATTGGTTAACATAGTTTGATTTTTATATGGTTTTGGAAATGAAGTGTCCTATCTTTGTCCCCTCTCATCTGCTGTGATTTGTATCTTTCTCTTCCATAGCTCTGTTCCACTGAACTACCGTTGGATCTATTGTTCCTTAATGTCATCCTCATAAACGCACCATGATTTGTGGAAAAGGGTGTAGGCTCCGAAATTAAACAGATCTGGATTCAAATCCCAAATCCATAGCTTACTGGTTGTGTGACTGTGGGCAAGGTATGGAACCTCGTGGTGCCTGTCTCCTCATCTGTGAAAGTGTATAACAGTATGTCACCTACCTGGCAGAGCTGCTTTGAGGACTGATTGGACTGATGCATGTAAGGCACCTGCTCACAGCAGGGGCTCTATAATTAGCAGATGTTTTGACTATCCTTATTTCCATTCTCTTTACTCTTCCACTATTTATCTTAATTACTTTTTCCTTCTCCTATCAGAAAATGTGCATTTCTAACCTTGGTTAATTGCTAGCAGCCACTAGTGTGCTGGGAGTTCATGGAGAACGGAATACTGTGAGCTATGAAAGTTTCACTTCTTTGGGAACCTTATATCACTTTGGACGTTGATAAAAGCCTTAATAAGAATAACTGAACTTTGCCCCATTAAAATAATACAAAGATAAATGTGAGTTTTCAGAAAAACTCCCCAAATGATAAAGCAAAGAGTTGGAGAGTTAAATGGCATGTGAAGAATCTAAGGACGTAGCATATATTCAAATTTATGATTTTTTTATTGTCTCTCTCTCCATTTATTACAAGAGATTCTAAAAGATTGCTCTCACAACAGGGCCATTATCCCTAGTAGATTTAAGGACTATTTCACCAGTATTTTTTCTTGAAATAATTGAGTTTGCTGGAATAAACTAGTCAGCTCAATATTTTTCATCTCCCTCTAATAGAAATGTATTTGATTCCTATAAATCTGAGTGGGATCAGTCAGGAAATTATATATATTTGTTTTCTACAGGGTATATGAGCTATTAAGTCATGTTGCATTTATGATAGATCATGTTTGCTATTTGGTAAGATCATTTGAATGATTGAGAACAATATTTTAGAAGATGTAACACTGAGAAAACAACCAGAGAAGAGAATTCAAGCAATGTGTTCCTTTACAATAGAAACTTTAAGTAAATCAAATATTCTGTTGTGATTCAAGCACACGTTTACCTATAAAATATATCAAAAATATATCATTTATGTTATGCATACCGTTCATTCTTATGGTTCATATATATATATTTCTCTCATATAAGTAAATATTTATATCACTTAGTCTTTTCATTTGGACCTCATGTAACATATGTATATTTTCCTATTATGTCTTCTTGCCAGCCGCAAATATGTGGATGTTTTCTTGGCTTTGTGCCTTTTTAATTATTTTGGCTCTTGCTGGTATGGACACAAAAGCAAAGACCACACCATATACCAAATTTATGAAGAAATCTGATGGAAAAGAGACGCTGAAGGGTCTAAAGCCGTCCAGTGGCCCACCTGCAGAAGAAGAAACTCCCTTCACGAAAGCAGTTGAAGTGGCAGAACCGACCACTGACCCCTCAGCCCTGGATTCTGCCTTTGGCACAGCCACCCTCTTTCCCTTTGAAAACTTCACTCTTGACACTGACGATTTCTTTTTAAATTGCTGTGATTGTTGTTCACCTGTCGCAGGGCAGAAAGGAGAACCTGGAGAGACTGGAAAGCCAGGTAACTGAAAATACATGAAGACATGTTTTCCACATGTGCATTCTTAGAGTGGAGAGGTGGGTTGGGGGATGGAATCGCCCCAGGGTTTCTACATTGTCATGCAAATGGACCAGTCTGGGTGTAACATTGTGACAAGTGCAAATGGGTGCTGTGCTGCCCAGTGTGGTAGCCACTAGAGCACATTGGTGTGGTTGTTAATACATATTAAAACATAAGATAAAAACTCCGTTTGTCAATCACACTGACACATGTCAAGTGCATAAAAGCCACATATAGCCAGTGGCTACTGAATTGGGAAGCGCATGTATAGATCAGTTCCATCATTGCAGAAAGTTCTATCGGACAGTGACAGTTAGAGCAAAGATGGGGATTACCAAGCCCAGCATGTGCAGTGGTTCTTCAAGTTACACAAGCTTATTACCAGTACAGTCTTTTCCTTAATGTCTCATATAAAAAGGGTAAATGAAAATTCTGTTGTCTGGTGAGAATGTGTGCTGATGATGGGTGTTTTGAGTGCTATTTGTAGTTAGGATGAGAAATGGAACCCCCATGAATTGGAGAATGAAATGCAGGACTCGGTTTGCTCCTCGTTGAAATTCTCAAGCAACGGTGACCCTACCCAGAAATTTTCTCCACTGAACACCATGGTTATGTATTTCAAAATTTCAGATGTCTTTAATGTGTCCATAATGAATATGCTCTTGGTTTTAGCATAAAACATTTCGGCTTTTACATGACATTCATTAGAGAATACAAGGTAAAATCAAAATTAGAATGTCAATTTAAAATTCACTATTTCTTGATTAAAAAATAGATATAAATATTTGTTGTGTCTTGCCTGAAGAATACGTTATAAAATCAGTAAGCATCTTCACCAAGCTTTTTAAAAATTTCATCCTATGGCAGGAAACTTTCAAGAAATGTGCTCAGTATTTATGCAGAGCTGGATTAAGGAGTAAAGGAGATAGGTAGCAGCCAAGGGCACCAAAATTTCAGGGTTGTTAAAACATTATGGAAAATGTAATGAGACTGAGAAAATTATATTTATCAGAACTTCTCTTGGTATTGTATATGGCTGGCAAGTTGCGTGCGACTGAAAATTCCAAGGGCATGGTCAAATAGCCACAGCTTGTTGCTAAACTGTCTTCTAGGGCTGTGAGATCTGTAGCATCAGAGACTTTGTTTTCCCCAGTGGTGGATTTAGCTGGGCTGTTCTCAGAGTTCAGCCTTTCCTCTAAATACAAATGACAAATATTTTGATAGTGAGCCAAGGTACTAGCCTGTCTGGGAACTCATATGTCTTAGTCTGACTGTTTCTACCATAGAGCAGAGTGTCTAAGAGCTCAGAATGTTGAGTCTGTCCTGGTCCTACCCTAGGGAAGCTTTGTTATTTCTCTAAGTCTCAGTTTCCAAAATAGTAAAAAGGGGTAGGAATGATACGAGCTTCATGGAATCATTAAGAGGACTGAATGAGATCATGTGAGTACGTATAAGAACTCAGCATGGTGCCTGGAATAGAATAAATGCTCAATAAACTGTTTTTATTTTCCCAGTTAGCCTGATAAGACAGGATCCTGTTTTTGAGATTCAGAGAGAGATATTTATTCTGGCTTTACCAGTGTTTTCAAAACACTGTTTCTTCTTCTTCTTTTTTTTTTAAAATTAGAAATCTAGTATAAGAGCAACATTGGACAAACTTGCAAAAAGAAAATAAAACTTCTCAATCCCAAGTATTTTAATTTTTCTTCATCACCCGGAAATTGAGGGGAATGGAAGAGATATTTATTTATACCCTGTTTACTATCAAAAAAGCTTTGTAGTTATGAGTGCTTTCATAGATCTTTTCCAGCTCAGAAATTCTATAATTCCATAGCTGTATTAGTAAGGAAGGCTTTCTGCTCTGGGAAATCCCTGGTTCTGTAAGTGCTTAAAGGTATTAGAGGAAGGTTACAGATTCACTGGGACATTTAGAAATTCCTCAGTGAATACTGACAGCCTGTGGAAATACCATCTATCCATCAAGTTAAATGTTTTAGCCTCAGTGTCACATGTCAAAAGACCTAATATCATCTATACATCACCCTCCACATGGCTCAGGGACTGCCTAACTCATTTCTGGTAGAACATTCAGTGAAGTAATTACTCAAAAAAGATGCTAAGGTAAGAGAGAGCTACTTCACACTTGTCAGTTAAGTGATTTTCATTCTTGGACACATTTAATCCTTTTGTGGCTGAATTATGTTAGCAGAAAACTCTGTGAAATAAAGATGAGTGATGAACCTCCCCAATGATTCATTCATTTTGGAAGCTAGACTTTTGGAAGTAGAAGGAAAAAATAGGGATGTATCATAAGATAATGTTCTTAAGAGTATGCTTTGATGAAGGATCAAGAGGAGACATTCATTCAGCCAGTCTCTGTAAAGTGGTAACTTTCCTTTCCTTTTACTTTTTAGACTTAGCTTGGACTCTTGGTTAAGAGTGTAAGTTAAAAAAATGAGTTGAATGGTTCAGCTATAATAATAGGTATCTACTATGTATCAAGAATGGTTAAGCACTTTTTATTTCTAATTTTTATAAAAATGTTAACAATATTGTTACAATTAAACTGATGATTTAAAAGCATTTCAGGGAGTTTTTGGGAAGTCTACAGTTTGCACCACCTGTGAGTGCAGGATCTGGAGTCAAACTCGGTTTGTGCACCTTCAAGCCCCAGCTCTTTCCATTGTGTTCGGCCATATGGTATTTACACCAATCAAACCTAGATGTATATCTGCCCGGATATGACCTCTTATTCAGTTGCTGGGTGCTCCCTGTGCCAATGCGGGCACAGCCTTTTATCATTTCCTTCCAAAGAGTAACTACAGTGAGGCTTTGGGTACCATGAGAAAAGGGACACATTGCACAGTGAAATTAATTGGCCATCTTGCTCACTTCCACCTCCTCTGCTTTTTCTTTCTCTATTCCTCTCCACCCTGCAACCCTTTCTTTTCTAGACAGAGAAGCTTAACCACTACCTTCGGTTGTTTGAGCCTGCCTTTACCCCTAACCTCTATTGCAAGACATCTACAAAAGTTTTCCTTCCAAACAAATACAATGTTTTTTCAAAGAGGAATTCTATTGAATGTAATTTTCTCCATTCCATCAACCTTAATTATAACAAGATAAAGTTAAGATGAAATTTTATAAATTTCATAGAGCACACTTACCTATATGGTTAACTTTCAAAGAAACTGGCCATAAAGTATTCCAATGGGGGACTGTTGCAGAGGTTGGGAAACAATTCCTATGACTTTAACAGGGCTGAAGTTGCAGGAGGAATAATTATCCTGGGCTTGGGGTCCCTGTGTGGCTCTGGTAAGTGGAAAGGACCTGGACTGCCTGGACGAGCCAGGACACTTGCTGAGACCTGAGCCCGGTGTGATCAGCCCTTGCCTGCCTCTCAGCCTGATTTCATCCTGATTACAACCTCTGCCCACTGTGCTCTTCTTTCAGTTTCTTAAAAACACCATGGTCTTTTCTATTCTTGATTTTCTTGAAATACCCATATACTTATGTTTTACTTTGGGAAATCCTAGTCCATTCATTGGGCCTTAGCTTAATGCCATTTTCTCAGGGAGGTCTTCTCTGATCCCATAAATATAAATTAGGCTCTTTTACCATAACTTACAATAGGACTTTCCTATTTTCCTTTATATCACTAACTACATGTGGTGATTTGTGTTTATTTGCATGGCTATTTGTTCAAGGCTCATCTCTCATGGACTCTCAGCTGCACAATGGTAGGAGCTGCTGGGATGTTGATGGATGCGTTCCTAACACCTAGCAGTGTGCTTAGCAGATAGGAGGCCTCAGAAATAGTTCCTGACTGAATAAATAAGTGAATAAATGTGAAATCCCAAAGTGCTAGGCATTGTGTTTTTACTTCCAATTGGAAAGTGTAGTCCATGTGAGGTTAAGTGTCAGGTGATCCTTTGGTTCTTGTTGTTTGATTAGTGCTGCTTCCCTGAATCATTTGATCACTGCCAAGAACACAGTGACAAGTATGAATGGGCTCAATTTATTTAGATCGGATAGTTAAAAATTACAAATCAGACAAAAATATTGCCCTTGGAACTTTGTAATAGTTTACTGTCATCTGGATTTTATCATTAGGATGTTGACAGTTATTGGTCTCAAGAGAATAACTGCTTTTTTTTTTCCTCAGAACTAATAAATTTCAAAAGAAAATTTCTATCCTGATGGGTTTGA